AAGTAGCCCAGGAGGCGTTCCAGCCACCTGGCCCTCAAGTGCTGTTCCAACGCTCGTTGGGATGTCGGCAATTGGGTTTTGATCTTCCCTGGTTTCCAATGCCGCCACTTGTTGGCCACTGCCAGGACATCCGGGGCCTCAATCGATCCGGAGAGGATCCACTCCTCGCGGTCCCGGATGGCCTGCTCCATTTCCAGTGGAGAATAGGTGTGCGATTGTCTGGCGCCTGCCGCACGAAACAGAAGTTGTTGCAGGGTCTTAGTAGCGAGCTCCAAATCCGCCTCCTCCAGCGGTTGTGGTTGGGAGCCGAGTATCCTTGCGAGGATCAAGTTGTAGGTGTCCGAGGCCACCAGGACATGGTTGCCGTCAGGTGCCAGCCCCACGATTCGTGTCCACGGCCGCGGGTCAAAGACCACCGCATCCGGGTTGGCAACCTGGTCCTTTTTGACCCATTCCAGGCAGCACGCCACGAGGATTTCCCCGTCCGACTGCACTGGTGCAAATCCAAGGTCATGCAAAATCAACTGGAACGCGGTTGGTACCCCAAGGAAGGTCGTTCCAAACGGGGAAGGGAGGCGGGGCCTCCACATCATCGTGATCCACTCGAGCCAGGAGCCTAATTCCTAGGCGCAAACCCCAACCAAACAACAGGGGAGCCCCCAAAACCCCGGAAAGCCCATCCCGAAACGGGGGAAAAGGGGGGGGGGACCCAGGGAGCCGCCCCGGAAAGGGAAGAACCAAACAAGGGAGGGGAGCCAAGGCGCACCCCGGACCAGCCCAAGCGCGCCAATTTTTCTCGCCTGGTACAGGTCTAGGCCTGTGCTGTGCCCAGGGGGGGATATCAGCGCCCTCGGCAGCTGTCCCCCCCGGGGTGCGCTGCGAATCCGTTCCGGATGGCCGCAGTGCTGTATGATCATACGGCCCCCTTTGCAATGTCGTCAATGCGCTTGAGCGCCGCCGCCTCCGGATTCCGGAGAATCAGCTCCCAGATGGCGTTTGAAACATGGCCGGTCTGGGTGATGTGGCTGAACCTAAACCGGGGGACTTTCTGGTCCACCACGGAGACATCCCGCAGCGGGGCAGAGGGCTCTACCCGGCGGTAGAACTCCAACCGCTCCTTGACCCAGCGGTTGTACAGGCCATCCGGCGGCTCGTCCAGCACCAGCTGAAGGATGGCCTTGCCGGCCCGGATCTGGAGGAGGCGGGTGCCCCCTCCCCCGGCGCGCCAGTACCCCTTGCAGTACTTGCACATGTAGCCCCCCCGGGTCTCCCCTTTTGTCTTCGGGATGAGTTCCCACGGGGTGACGGAGCTCAGGACCAGGCCACACTCCATGTGCGCCCAGAAGACATGCTTCGTCTCCTGCCGGATAGTTCTTCTTCCGGTAGTCCTTGCCCACCACGCCGTGGACGTTGTCCGATGTGATGGGGGGGTAAACGATCCCCTCATCGCCCTCTCCTCCCCTGGGGCGGATGTCAGGGCCATCGGCACCTGTCCGGCACCCAGGGGCGGAGGGGTCAAGGCCCATCAGCTTGATCATGTCGTTGGTGTAGCCGAGCTTGCGGTAGATGGAGGGGGCTACTGAGTCGGGGACTGCGCCGACCCACCACTGCTTCGTGTTGCAGCGCCAATTGACCTTCACCTCCGCCAGGGCCCCCGGGCCTCCAATGCGGTCCATGAGGGCCTTGTACACCTCTGGGAACTGCTGGAGACTCTCCACCGGGACAGATATGCGCTCACATACCGCCCGGAGGATCATCTGTTCCTTGGAGTCCGCCACGTCCTGGACCGGGAGCTGCATCACCTCCGCCGGGGTGTCCGTGAGGAAGGCTTGGGCCGCGAGGACCTTGCCCATGGCCCGGTAGACCAACCGCCACTCCGGTCCTGTCTGCGGAAACGGAAGGCCCTCCTCCTTCAGGAAGCACCGCGCGTCTTCCTTCAGGGTCTCCCAGCCCTCCAGGCGGATCTGATTCTGGGCCTTGTTCTTCGGGCCCCGCTGCCTAGGGCCCTGTAGCAGTGGCAGGGACTCCCAGACTCCCCAGAGCTGGTGCAGGGTGAAGCTGTGACCAAACATCCCCAGTAAGCCTGGAAGTGTCCAGGACGAGATCTGGCGCGCCCAGTGGAAGTCCTCATCCGGATCGTGGGGGGCCGCCCAGAAGATGGAACGCAGGTCCTCGGGGTAGGGTCGGTCCCCCGCCTTAGCCTGCTGGTTCAACTCATCAACGGAGTACCTGGCCCATGGGAGTCCACCCACCTGGTGGTTCCTGGGGTGCGTACCCCTCTCCAGCGCCTCCGGATTCACCTTGGTGAGGTTGTTGGCCCAGTCCGGGACGTGTACGGGGCCCGGTCGTCGGACCCAGCGGCCCGCAAAGATACGGACCTCTCCGACCCGTTTGCTCATCATCCAGCGCAGGACCGCGAGCTGCACCTCCGGGTCCTGGGTATCCAGGCCCCCTGGGGTGGCAGACGGCTTGTCAGGGCCCTCGGCACCTGAGCTCGTCGCGCCAGAGCCCGAGGCTGGGGGGATGGTGGGCTGCCTCAGGGCCCTCGGCACCTGGGCGCGCCGCACCAGAGCCCCCCGCCTTTGGAATGGGGATCCCCGCCAGATCCGGCAGATCTGCCAGGAGGGCCGCCGGAAAGGGGTTCCTACCCAGCGAGATGACCGCCTTGGCTTCGAGGTAAGAGTCCGTGAGGGACGTGAGGTCGTCCATGCTGAAATCCCTCCATGCCGTGGTCGGCTCAAAGACCCCCGTCTCAATGGCAACTCGGACCTCGTTAGGCCACGCACTGAATGGAGGCTTGATGGGCTCGAGCATTCTGGTCTCGTGGGCGCCCTTCGCTTGTCTGGCCTGGTGCTTTGCCTTTGCCTCCTCCGCAGTGGTCTGGGCCTGGAGGAGCTCCGGTGTGGGCCTCCCCCAGTCCGCGCCCAGCTTATCCAGCAGTTTTTCGCGGAAAAGGTCCAAGTCCAAATTCTTGAGGAGGAGGCCCCCATCGCCTCCTCCATCAATGGCCCCTCCTTGAAGCTCGTGGAGGACCGCCGCGGATCGCTCCACCGCTGCCACCTGGTCTGCCTTCTTGGCCTCCTCCTGGGCAATGGTGGTGGCGTTGAGCCGGGTCTGGATTTTGAAAGCCTTCACCGCCGACGGGTGGAAGGCCCTGCATTCCTGGCCCTCTTCCTTGTCGCCCGGCAATGGAGGCCTCTCCCCCATTGGGGCCGTCAGGAAATCCTCGTCCAGCTCCATGGGGCAGTTCCTGATCACCGCCCGGACCGAGGAGGGGACAAAGTCCGAGAAGCTGGCCTGGTCCGGGTTCTCGCATGCCATCGGGTCGGTGGCCAGCTCGCTGACATCCACCGAGGCGCTGAGCTTGAGGTCGCGGGCCCGGTCCGTATCAGGGCCATCGGCACCTGCGGACCGGGCCGCCGTCCAGACCGCATTGCCCTGGTCATCCACCGTCAACTGCCAGTGCGTGCCCGCCATCTCCAGGGTGGCCGAGTTGGTCGCCATGTCAATGGGCTCCGTCTTCTTGCCGCACCCCATACACTTCCTGGCGCCCTTCTTCACCCAGGGCATGGTGCAGCAGGGGCAGATCCAGGATGTGGGCTCCTTACCCAGGGGGCGGTTCTCCAGGCCCCCATACCCCAGGCCAGCGCGCTTGCCGACCTGCTGTCCCGGGGTGCTGAGCCGGGCCTCATGCTCATACTTCATCTTGGCGATGTAGAACGCCTCCACCACACGCTCCAGGCCCCCCTGCTTGAGTTGGGGGCCCTCAAAGCCTCTCAGGAGCCGCTGGACGTCCTTGGCCTGCAGTCGGCGGAGCCTAGTGGCCGTGGTCGCATCAAAACACGGGAAGTCGCCCGCCATCTGGTCATCGCTGAATTGGTAAAGGCCCTCAGAGACTTTGAGGGCCTTGGTGAAGACGCTTCCCCCCGGCGGGGGGGCTGCGGGGTCCTCATCCTCCTCCGAGGACGCCTGCTCCCTGACCTTCGCCATCAGATCACGGCGTCTCTGCCACTTGGTGTCGGACATCGGGAGCTCCTCCTCGTCTTCCGCCAGGAGTTCCTCCATGGGAACATCCTTCTCCGGCGGGTTTAGGAGCTCCAGGAACGCCCCTGGGGGGCGTGTCAGGGCCTTCGGCACCTGCGCCACCCCAGGGGCTGAGTCTGCCATCAGCTCGTCCTCTGCCTTGCGCTTGGCTGGGATGAGTGGGGCCTGCTCCAGCTCATCGGCGCTGGAGAAGAACCGCTCGTCAGGTGCCTGAGGGACCTCAGCAGCCAAGACGGTCCATCCTTCTTCCTCCTTCTTCACGAGGCTTGCCAGGTACTTCGCCATGGAGGCCTTTGCCTTCGCCTTGGCCTCTGCAACCGCGGCACCAGCGTAGGCGGGGGCGTACATGGCTTTGATAGGAGGGGAAAGAAAGATTTCAGATTACAAGACAGAAGGTCAGAGTCCACTTGAGCCAAAATGGTGGCCCAAGTGGACACTTATGAAGAGTCAAGACAAGCGACCACCTGCGGTTAACGCTTTAGCCCAACAAAAATCAAACATGATTTAACGGCCGAGAGAAAGTGCCCTGGCAGAATGCCCATGATTCATAGAGGTACCGCAACATGCATGAAATATTAAACGAGCTGGCAAAGCTCCTTGGGAGGACTTTGTTTGCCGCAAGCATAAAAGGAGACGTATGTTCATCCAGGGAGGCCCTATCCAGATTCATGTTTTGACCTGCTCGGAAGCTGAAACAAGTCTCCCTGAAACACAAACAAACCCACCTGCTCTGAACCAACAAGACCCCAAACCTTTCCAACAACTGTCAACCCAAACCATCAGTTTTTGCCGTATGTTTGATTCCGGCCCATATTGACTGAAACTTCTGCTGCAAAATAGTGCCAACAGATTGTCCGTTCCAAGAGAAAACAACGCATCAAGCTGAAACAGCTTGAAAAACCATCCCAGCAATGGCCACACCGGGCACTGACTCGACTCTCGAGCCAAACCGGCGCCTTCGGTGGCAGCACCCCCGGGCACGGCGCAATTCTCGGGGATCTCCACGCATTGCAAGGTGCTCGGGAAGAGCGCCTCACGTTCCGCGCAAGTCGCGCCTCTGCCCTCGTTCTTGGGCCGCATTTAACTCGCCTTCGAAGGAGCGGATGGGCCAGAAAAGTAACTAAACGTTTTGTATGCCACGAAAAATTGTCCCCAGAAAGTATGAAGTCCGTGAACTCAGGAAGTGAGTTGATGGGATCGATCTGTATGTATATTGCTGGGGTGCTCCTCCTCTGAGCAGAAGGTTGTTTGTAGGCGTGGAAAAACCATTCGCTTCCAAAGGAAGGGGTGATTGGCCACACCTGAGAGCAGCCGGGAACCGCGTTCATTGCCAAAAAGCCTGATCCCCCGCTAGAACCAGCAAGTCGTTATTTTGAGGGGAAGGTTCGCTACGCGTTTGGTTGGAACGGACTTGTTGCGGTCTCCCAATCGCCGACTCTTTTTCAAGGAGCCTCAACCGCGCGCCAAAAGCTGCGCCCAAGAGTTTAAGAGCCCACTGGATGTCTGGATGTTTACTTTTGGTCATAAGGGGGAACTATTCCCACAATTCGGATGAGTAGAAGCCGCCTGGCAGCCGGGCTGCGGTCTTCTTTTTCGGAAAACTCGGCTGGGCGCCGGGCCCAGGGTTGAGTCTTCCGGTGCTTCGGGGATCGCTGGCTTGCTGCGTCTTTGATTTCCAGGTTTCTTTATCCAAAAGAAGCTGGAAAACCAAAAGGGCCCAAAAAAGACAAGCCGCGAAATGATGTGCCAGGTCTCTACCAGACCTGCAAATACAAAAGCAATGTTGCTCACTGCTCACTGGGCACAAAGAGGGCTTCCTCCATGCCAGGTGGACGTCGGACGCCCCCAGCCAAAATCGCGAAACAAATCTCCATCCGCTTGACTCCCCGCCCCGAGGCGCTGAGACTGGTTCCTTGGCGCCTCAGCAAAAGTCGTCGAACTCGAAGTTGCATGGCTCGTCGTCAACACTACCATGTGATCAAGAGAGCTTCTGCAGTCCATTAAGTTAATCCCCCTTACTGGCAGCAGGTCGGTACTTGTTGTCTCTGCGGTGGAATATAACGCTCGTGGACCACGAAAGTAATCCGCAAATCCTTGAAGTATCAAGGGGTGATAGATTTGTCGCTACATAACTTGGAGCTCAGTGCTCGGCAACTCCAAGCGGGTGGACCCATGAGTGAGACTGAGTCGCGATGCTTTGGCTTGTTTCTGAAACCTGGTCAACTCATGCCAGGAAAGGGATGTGTGAACACCAAGCTGCCCTCTTGCCCTGAGCAAGCCAGCTCTGCTACTTCTGGCGCTGCCCGGCCACAAAGCCCAGAAGATTGGCAACCAGAAGCCTGGACCCGCTGAATCGCATCTGTTTGCACGCCACAGCCGCAGCTCCACTAGTGAACCCAACTTTGCACAAGAACCTTTGCTCGCCAAATACATCTCCAGCTGCCCTGCCTCCTGCGGCAAAGCAGGAACACGCCGTCTGCGTCAACCAAGCGCAGCTCCGTTTACGAGCGGCGCAGCATTGTCAAGACCGCAGAACACAATTGAACCGCTGCTGCCGAAGCACGCTTCAGGTTCAGACATGAGTTTGAGTGAATGCTTCAAGTTCTTGTAGGCCACGAAACCGCTGGGATCAGACTGGCTCCGGCCGCGAGTAGCGCCCACATGGCGTTGGCGACACAGCGCCAAACAAAGACAACTGTCTGCAAGCAACGTGCGATGCGCTGTTCATACCACACACAGACCCGAACCCACCAGCGCTTGTCTGCAGCTCCAGCAAAAACAGCATGATTCTGCAAAAAGAAGGCTTCTGATTCATATCGGTACAACCGCCTGCAGCCTTGGTGCCCAGGAACGCTACTGCACATTGCTTACCAGGCCTTGTCCAAAGCGCCTCAATGTCTGGAGTGTGGGTGACTGAAACTTGGCGGTCAAAGTCTCCCATCCGCGACTTCGGATCTTCGGGTGCCTTGGCCGTCTCCAAGCAGCCCTTCAGAAGGGCGCAGCGTGAGACCTTCGCTGCTCGCAAAGCCGAGACCTGTGCAGTAACACCGGCGACATTGCGCCCGCAAGCGGTAGGCCAAGCTCGAACTGACCTGAATCGGAGTGGAATGCATGTGAGGCTCTGCATGCTAATGTTGACCCTATATTGATCAACGAGGGGAACACACCCCTATTAAACTGAGGTTGCTTGATATGGGGTCAACGCTACTGCGAACTACATGGACCACCAAATACTGCAACAAGGTGGCACCCCTTGGGCCAGAGATTAGTGAGAGTTGACCAAAGCAGCAAACCGTCTCAGCCGTGAGAGTTCAAGTGAAGCCTTAAAACACCTTTTCTCCCTTTCACCCTGCTTGCCCACACTACCCTGTGCGTCTGCTTTTTTTCGGTGGGGTTTCCGAAATGAGAGATCCTGCAATGCGCACCTTTCCCCATTTCCATATGGCCGTGGGTCAAAATCCAAATCGTGCCCCCAGTGAACATCCCAATCCCCACTAAAAAAGGTTCTAAAATGGGTCCTACCCCAAAATGGGATCCCAAAACGGTTTTGACCCTCGTTTCCATCTTGGCAGCCAGCCAAACCCGAGCAAGACACCCGGACCGCGGGTTTCAAAAACGCCCGGCCTCCAGCTCAAAAGCCAGACCTTCGCAGGCTTGCCGACGCTTAACGCGAAGTCTCTCCAGACCCGTCAATGTCCATGGGACGACAAAGGCAGCCACCTTTGGGTACGTACTCTTTTGCTACCTGAAAACGGCTGACTTGCTTAAAGTGCCTCTATTTAGAGGTAGATGGCACAATTCACCCTCATTTTGGCCACATCAACGCAATTGCATCTAGTATTGTGAGGCCCTGAATAAGTTGGATGGGGTTGCGGGGCACATTCAAAAAAGAAGTCCGTTGGGTGTTTTTGCTCCCGGTATCTTCAAACACGCCTCTTGCAAGAGCTTGCCAATCAGGTCGCTTCATCTCCTCGCTCGAACTGTCATAGGTGGCCTTGTGGAAAAATAGACGGCCCTGGTGAATGGAATAGACCCCACCTAAACCAGGTCCCCCTAAGACTCTTTTTTTCAAGCAAACCAACCAAAAAGGACACCTGTGCGAACAGTCCACACCTCTTCAAGCAGGCGGCCTGTCCAACCATAGCGTCCTGGTCCATCTACCGATGGTCCAGGGTTTGCAAATTCCATGTGGCAGTCGCCATTTCGTGCTTGTGGCTGTACTTTTGGAGGGTTACCCCGCTTCGGTTGGTTTAAAACAAGCAACAAAGGCTTAAACAAACGTCCATTTACTGGGATCAGCGTTTTGAGACGAACCCAAAACAGCTGAACAAATTGGATCTGCCAGATAAGCTGTCTAGTATCTAGTAGGACAAGCCCTTGCAAACTACTTACCCCGAAGGCGCTTGGCATCTCTCACGAGTCTTGGCGGAGGTTCCGTTCCGCAGAAGGATATGTTCCTTGTCTCTTTCTACCTTTTTTCTTTGCGTGGAACCAACCAAGAAACAAACAAAGAAGATCATGTGAAAGGAACCCAAGATGGACATCGCAGTGGCCATAGAAACATGGGAATATACAAGACAGAGTTGAAGTGGAGCTTCAAAAATGACAACAAGCGGCATGACAAACTTCAGCTCCAGGTGATGCTGAAACCACCCCAGGCAAAAAAATAGGGGACCTCCAAAAAATTGTGGCGTGCCCTTTACACAACAGGTTCCCTAAAGAAAGACGAGCCACCCCAACGTAAGACCCCGGCATCACGCGGGCCTTACTGGTTGCTGAGTGCCCGGCGGTCCGCCATCACGATGTGACTGATCCTCGGGAGTGGTTGTAATGGGAGGGAAATCCTCTTCGGGTTTACCCTCCCCCAACACGGAAGCTCCCAGGGCCTTGGAAGACTTGGTTCCATTTACAAAGGCCAATTGGGGGAGCTTCCATGTTCTGAGGCAGGGTGGGGTCTTTGGAAAATGACGTATTCAGTGTTCCATTGCATATCAGCATCAGTGGGCGTTTGAGTCTACTGCGTAGTTGAAGGACCTAGAAATACATGGCTAGCCCTCGGGATCATTGTTGCCAAGACTGCGACATCGACAGGTGAAATGCTCGGATTTTGGGCAAGTGATCTGGCAAGTTAGGAAGATCCACTTCAAAATGGTCATCGAATTGGAGAACACACACACAATAAAACATATGGGTGTGTCTATACATGAGAAAACCCTAAATTGGTGGATAGAAGGCTACTGCAAACCACGGGTACAACCAGCTGAAGTGTTTCCCTTGCATTTAAAACTACCCTTGCTGAAGTTGTTCAAGCAAGTGACCACGTGTTTTTGCTCGAATCCCCAAATATGGGTGTTGTCAAAATAGGGGGACCCCAACGAATGATGGCTTCCCTTTAAAACAACCTCAAGGGCACCAACTCAAGAAGCACCTCCGGAGTTCCTTTCACCTGACCGCAATTCAACAGTGGAAGGGAGCACGTTAAATGTGGGTGAGTCTAAAAGGACTTACCCCATGGGTGGTTCCCTTTGCTTTCCTTCAACGCAATCCCCTGTGGAGGGCACCGGCAAAAAACATGGATGGGCGCCGAAGCACGGAGGGGCTTCTCTCCGTTGAGACCTGAAGCGCCCAGCCAGGAGCTCGAGGGCCGAAAGCGAAGGTGCTCCGCCCCCGCGCGGCGGCATGCCGGGGTCGAGTCCAGGATCGCTTTGCGGATGACTTGTCCGAGACTTTCGGCTGGCAGCAAACCAGCAAAGACTCATTCAATCCTCGCTATTCTTATCAGGGGCCAATCTTCTAGCCTTATAGTGGGGGTTTCTCCGAATGATGGACCACCACCAAGACCAAACCCTTGCCATTCTATGTGGGCCGCCCACTATTTTGGGAACCACCGTTTTAGTTTCCCTTTGGGGTTGAACTCCTGTGGACCTATCCGATTTTGATTTACAGAGCCAGCCATTTAGGGTCCCCTTTTCTCAGCTGCCCAAAGTAACCATTTGGGGGCCATGACTAAAAATGGCAAAGCCAAAATGGCGAAAAACCAAAAAGGTCCAATCCACTCGATTCGCTTTGGACAACTGAGTATCTTTCTGGCTGATTCTATCTCACGGGAAAAAACAGGGAACCAATTTCATGGAAATCCCACGGTCCCAACCTCTTTCAATTCCCTTAAGGTGGGGATATTCGCTCGGCCCCTGCTAAAAGTTTAACTTTTAATGGTTTAATACGGAAAAACCCCTTAGTTGGCAAGAAGTCTTGTCTCTCCTAACATCCCTTGGCAAAATGCGCCAAAGTTCCATTTCCCAGCAACTTACACCTAGGCTTCGCCCAG